TGATGAAAAAGTCTGCCATTTTTTAGTATCAGAAAACATAAAAAAACATTCTGTTACATTTCAAAGAATTTAAAAAGATGTTGGCCTATTCGTAGTGCTTGTCTGGCCAAACCACCAAAAGATATTCAGTTTGTCTAGATAACAGAAGTCTTCATATTTGAGAATCTGGGGCCAAGAAATGTCTGGCATGAAAGTTTGAGAAGAAAATTGCTGCTTAAATTCTGACATTCAATTGTTGGCTGCTTGATAAACAGACTACTTGTTCAGCTCTACTTCAAAGTATAAAATTGACACCACAATGTTTGTAGTAGTTGTGATATGTAGCAGTAAAACAAAGAGTGTCTGTGTACGTTTATAATTACACACTATAGATACAGGATATAAATTGGCTATATTTAGACACCAAATATTTACTCGAAGTCTTAACCAAGTTAATTAAGGATATTGGTGTCTCAATTCTGATGTCATCACATCAAAGCAGCGACATGAATTAATATAACTGAAACACATTTTTTTAATCTGAGTTCAATAGGCTCTTGACTTACCCAAGTAAACAAAATATGGCCAGAATTACAATAGGAACAGAAAAGGAACAACAACACGTTTAGAGATAGGAATTTTTTCATTATAAAACCCCTAATGAATATTGCTTTTGGTTAGCTTCAGTATGCCTAAGCAGGCCTATAATACAAAACAAATATTAGCAACCAGCAAACTTCAAAACAGCCTTGTAATAGTAGTGCGAAGCCTCATAGCTCACAAAAGCACACAAACAAACAACTGGAAATACTTTAGCTGAACAACAACAGCAGCAAAGAATCACCTGCTTGCTGAAGATTAGTCCTCATGGGAATAAATTCACCAGGATGTCCAACAGAAGCTTGAACGTTTGAACGTAAAATGATGGGACCACCGCAGAAAACTCAGAATACATCCCAGAATAGGTTGGCTTTTAGCAGGTGAACTAGCTTATGACGTGTTATTAAAACCTTTCAATTTTTTGTTTGTGTTGTGAATGAGTAAATCAGTGAGCAGGTCAGAGGCTGTTTAGACAGGGGTGCTAGGGGATAGGGGACAGGGGATAGAAGAATACCAATACCTACTGTTACTGTCCAGGATAGTTTCCTGTTAAATATTTGTTTGGCTTTCCATTTTATTCACTTTTATTTAGTTTGTCTCTGAGAAATCCTTATTTCCTTTCTGTAGGCCTACTGCAACTTTTAAAGATACTACAGCACCCATGAGCCTCTTGCTGCGGAGATTGAGCAAATAATAATATCACAGCTGTAGCTTATTTAGGCAGTTTATCTGTTAAAATGATAACAAACACGGCAGAAGATAAGTGATATTATAATTTTTTTATGTAAAAAATGATGGTGTTATAGCCTACTCTTGTAGAAATATTACATTAAAAATAGAGGTAATAAATTCGACATATATATACAGATATATCAAAAAATGCAAGCCCAAAGTATCAAAAGTGTGCAATACGCCTATTATTTTGTCAGAATAGATTCTGTAAGTGTTGTAGGCTACACTATAATAATTAGGCTATTGATATTTAAATGTAAATAATAGGGCATTACTATATTATTAATAGTATATGCCTGGCTTGTAAAGGTTGTGGTGTTTTAAATAGGCTAGCCAATCGGCTGCTTTTTTTTTAATTGGTCAAATAGCAGCATCATATTTTTGATAAAGATCACAGCAGGATCACTGGAATTGTAAAAGTCTTAATAAAAAAAAAATAGAAGAATAGACTTTACAAACTATGTGATGCACGAACATTTTAAATAATAAATTGGTCCATTTAAGCGTAACATAAATTATTGAGACATGATATGTCTGATGTGTGGAGAACGTGATATAAAAATACAGATAGTTCATTTGTAGCAGCGAATTTAGAAATAAACGTTCTCTTCTGCCCGTTTTTCGCAAATCTATATCAAGGAGCAAAGAAAGGAACGACTTGCGTTGTCCTTGTTGTTGTAGGGTTTTTACCAGGATGATCTTGTCCATGCTTAATGCAGTGCCTTATTTTAGCATGTTTTGCTTAAAATTCCCTGTTCAACATCTTCCCAGTGTTTTTTTGTATTGGGTTAGGTATAGGTAAGAGACTAAAAGCATCAATATACAGAGAGGCATTTAAGGTGTGCTAAAAAGTAATACTTCCCTCACTGTTTCACTATTCATCCCGTTATCTAAACTAGCCACATATTTCCACCACTCTGTCATCAGGTGGCCGTGTGCTGCTGCAGCCCATCTGCTTCAGGGCTCAATGAGTAGTATATGTGAGATGCCTCAGTGCACACTAATGTTGTACAGCGCAGTTATGTGCATATTTGTAGCCCACCTAGTAGCTTGAATGAATGATGCTATTTTCCTCTAACTGCAGGATGAGACTTCTGACTGCACGTGTCTAAACCACTGAGTGTAGGAGTTACTGTACAGCTGTGTGTCAAAACTGGATCCCGGAAATAACTGAGACATTTGTTTTATATTAACCAGTTTGCTGTTTTTCATTAGATTAAATGTTAATTTGTGCATATTGTGCTATAATCCATCTATGATGTATTGCATTACTGTCTATTCTGATATTTACAGAAACTGTAGAGGTTTTTTTTTTTTTGTCTCTCTTGCACATTTCTAAAGGTTAAACTAAAGAAAACAGAGGTAACAGAAATCCAGGGCACTGACAAATCTTTAAATTTTCCTAACACTTGCAAACACACACAAAGACCTTTCAGAGCCTGACACTTTTTAAAACTTCCATGATGCGTGTTGGACTGGTGCTAATAAATGATATGAGGGAATAAATGTGAATAGAAAAGGTGTGAGTTCTCAGCCTGTGTGTGATTTAATGAATACATCGCCTCTGGCTAGGGAGACTTTTTGTAAAAGCAATGAGAGAAGACTGCTCAAGGTCCACTTGGATGCTTCACTCAGCTTTCAAACACTTCAAAGAGTGCAAAGAGTTAGCTCAGTTGTTGTGTAGAGGAATCTGTTGACATGCATGCTGAGGAGCTGTTACAATTTCATCCATCACACTTTAAGGACTCCTCCTGCGGGACAGATGACCTTAAAGTGCTTCTGATGTTGCATGTCAACAAATCCATCTCCACGACAACAGTGAAAGATCCATCACTGTGGAAGATATAGTTGGCAATCTTTTGAAAAACCAGAAAGTTAACTTTGGGTTGTTAATGTGTTGTCAGACATGTCAGAGTTTTTGAATATTTTCAATGTAAGGAATCAAATCTGATGTTTAAAATAAGTATTGAGCTTTTATGCAAATTGACTACCTAAGTACGTATGTATGTGTAGAGGCCTAGTGAGTAATGATATACCAAAAAATGTGAAAAATGTACCTGAAAAACTCAAAAGGAATAGGTTTCTTTTGACTATCTGACTGGAATGAATATATTCAGCCCTACATATTTCTCAAACATCCTTGCTATATTTACCCTTTTTAAATGGAGCCTCCAAGCAAAATAATTTCAAATGATTGTATTTGACCGGAATGACAATTAACATCTTAAATCTTGAACCTTAAATCTTGTTAAGACCTTTTTTAAGTATCGCTGTTTTCACACGTGCACTAAAATCATAAAAACTTCCAGAATTTTTCAAGGTGATCTGCATGTTTGAACGCAAACAGACACATTTTCACCCCGACTTTACCCAGACCTTTTCCCGCCATCCGGAGTAAAAGATTTCAGGGTGAGCCGATGTGTGAACCTGCCTGTTTTCAGCGAAGGCAATCAAGGGGCATGGTGATATTTGTATGATGGGACCGGTGTACTTGTCGCACACATAATGAAGCTGCTTCAAACTTTTTTGTGCTCACCAGTAGCATGTTCTTCTACGCTCCAGTTAAAACTGGATAATTGACCAATAACACTTAGCATTATAAGCAAAAACTTTCATCGTAGTCCTACACTGCTTGCCCCACCATCTTGGATATCTTGTAAACATTTTATATCATGTCCTGCCTCCATGTCCACCAGTGTTAACTTCATGCTGTGAGGGACCCGTGTGAATAACAACTTTGGAAAATTGACAGCCAGAGACCACCGCTGTTGAGGTGCCATAAAGCAGCATCTCTTCCTGTGCCATGAGTGAAGACTCTTAACGGGAGAACTCTGGGGTTGTGTAGATTTACAGCCCATTTACTTCTATATATATCTTACATTCCTTTCATTTTTTAAGCAGGCAATGACCTGCTCATTCACTTTCTGAACCTCATCAGCCAGGCTGCAAAGTTACTACGAGCAAACATATCTTACATTTTAAGAAACAACATAAAATATGATTGCATTTTCTCAGACAAAGATGTATTGGGGGAATATTTCTCAGCTTGAGAAGACTTGTGTGTGTCTGTGTGGATGTCAGGTGATTGACACTACAAGAGGTTTACCATAACACACTGTCTGCTGACTCTTAACTCAAGCACACTTGAGGGCAGTGACAGATTGATGAAACTAAACAACAAACAGAATCACTGCTTCTGCTTTACTGTGATGGATTCTCTCTCTCACATGCTGCTGCTGCTGCATTTCATCATGGCACTGAAAGAATCATGGGTACTCTGGATATAGAAAATCAATATAGGAAAATGTAACAAAGACAGACAATGCAGGTCAACTGCAATATCCTGATAAGAGAAAATGTTGACATATTCTAACTCCTCTGGTGTGTATATGAGGCATCATACACAAAATTCCTAAATGATCTGGTTTTCCCTCGTTCCTAAATAATCGTTAAAGTCTAAATGTCTTGTCATATATCTGTCTTTAAAGATACTGGAGTGTTTTTGTCTCAAAGACTTTCCACTGTAGATAACCTACATTATGCAGGTCTGCTGCTTTGTTTAGGTATGTTCAGTATGTGCGGATGTGGGAATAACACATTAACTCTCTCTTCCAGTATCGGCCTCACAAAGAATGTGTTTACAGCGGGTTTACGAGCCGGGTGAGACACTTTCTCTGCTTGTCTCTCAGCAGGCTACACAGCGGAGGCAGAGCAGGGCAGAGGGGTGCTGGATGGGGGCCACAGCCGGGCCTGATGGCAGGAGCCCAGACCTCAGAGAGCTCTAATCACGTCCTCTAGAAGGAGCCGAGGTGCTACAGTTCACGTGGAGACACTGAAAAGGTAACCAGATGGACAAATGGTCGTGTCCAAAAGAATGCAGTGCACAAAAAGTAAAACATTACATTACTAAAAGCAGCAGCATATTGACCAGTCATACAAACACTGCAATGATAACCAAAACGACGTCAAACAAGGTGTGAATGCTCAACTGACCTGCTCGAAACATAAAGTGTCTGCACCTGATTGATGATGGCCTCCTTAAATAAGAGTTTACGTTAGTAAAGACTTCCATTGGATTCAATGCTAATTAATTAAATTGACCTTTTAACAAAATCCCATTTAGTGCCAAATAAAGGAAATAAATGTTGCAGGTTCAAACTCTTCATTCTTTAAAAAAGTGTCCAGATAAATTGTAAATAATTTGCTTAAATTACTCTTTTCTGTTTGATACTTATTGGTTCAGCATTGACTAACCTAACCAGTGATGATTTGATCACAGCTCTCGTGCCTATCAGTGTTAGCGCTCTGAAATCACTCACTACAGATTCTTACCTTCCCGACCTCGGAGTAGTCACCCTACTGGCTACACGGGGCGGCTGTGCCTCAGTTGGTAGAGTCGTCGTCTCTCAACTGGAAGGTTAGGGGTTCGGTCACCAGCTCCTGCAGCAACATGTCCGATGTGTCCTTGGTCAAGACACTTAACCCTGAATTACTCCCGCTGCTACGTCGGCGGCGTATGAATGTGTATGAATGGGATTAGTTACTTCTAAAGGTCTTACTACACAGCAACCTCTACCATCAGTGTGTGAATGTGTAGGTGTGACATGCGGTGTAAAAGCGTTTTGAGTGGTCAGAAGGTCAGAAAAGCGCTCCACAAGCTCAAGTCCATTTACAATTTACTGGTCTCGTCTTAATCAAAATGGATTCTGTTTAACAATCCAACCCAGAGAGAGAAGAGTTTTTATTTTCATCCTCCCACATGAACTCAAATTTTCAGATTAAAGTGGTTTTATAAAAAAAAAAAAAAGACTGACCTTTAATCTTAAAAGAAATGTCTGTTTAGATTCTTCTTTTTGTCTATCGCACATGTCAACAAGTCAACAGCAAACACTGATTTAACACAGGGAGAATACAGCTGTTACCAAAACAGTAAGTAAGAGTCTATTTCATTAAGGTGTCACAGTGAGGCGCGTTAGTCATGCAGCATTTGATTTGTATGTCTTAATGAAAAGCCTTTACCTCCTTTTTCAAAAGAGGTCGAGTCACCAGGGGAGGTGCTGGGCTCCTTAACAGTCCTCTTCTTTTTCATCATCTTTGTTTTACCTTTTATTTTGTCTCTAGTGGATCATTGTTTCCTGCCTCCTGCTGCACAGCAACCTTCCTGTGTGTCCTAAGGCGATGCAAATTGGCACAAAATGTAAAAGAAAAGAAACAATTCAGTCTTCTACGCTGTGGTCTTCTTATCTGTTTATAGCAATTAATATAATCATGTCGAAGTTGATCCAGAAGTAATTGTTTATTCTTGTTTAAATGATTCAAGGAAAGTGTGTGAGCAGATGAGCAGGGTGTGAGGAGAGACGTTGGGCAGTTTTTCAATGCTGTAATCTCAGCTCACATGATATGTTCTCTACAGACTATGATTTCACTGTCGATTTGTTGTGCCAACAGTTTTGATCCACGAGCATTTTCCCTGCAACCTGAGGCCATCGTTGCGGATAATAAGGTTACCTGACAGAGCATGTGAACGGAGGAATCGCAGGTGTTGACACGTCTGTGATTCCTGCTAAACACAGAACGCAGCCTGTCGGTCTGTGCCAGACGCTGAAGACAGATGTTGTGTTGTGGTGTTTGCCGTCACAATGCGATGAAAGAAGAACAGCATGAGATGTCAGAAACAATGTCTCTTATAATGTGACACGTTTTTCCACAGATCAATTCCAATATCTGTTCATGTATTTGATGTTCTTTAATGTTCCACAAAGAGAATTCTGCTGTTTCTACCGTCTTCTGTCTTTTCCCCCCTCCTCACAGAGAGATAGGATTCCCTTTCCATGTCTTTGAATGAAGTTTGAGGATTATATAAAGCTGTGTGCTTAGAGGAGCTCCGCTCAAATCTTTAGGATCAATAAGAAGACTTGTCCGAAAGCTGATGGATATTCAAACTTCAGTTTATTTCATCCATAAAGTCATAATAAAATTCAAATATATTATAACAATTGCATTTGGAATATACATTAGCAGTAGCAAGAAAAAAATGAACATTAAAATGTTGTCCTTTAAGAACATCACTTCATCAGTTGTATCCCCTGTAAAAAAAAAAAAGAGAGAAAATAGGGTGCTGATGGCCTTGCGGTTAGGTTGCACACCATGTATGGAAGATTTAGTCCTCCAAGTGGATGGCCCAGGTTCAAATCCAAGTAATGGCCCCCTCTCTGCATGTCATTCCCCAATCTCTCGTTTGCCGATTTTCTTCTCTGTCCTACCGTATGGAATAAATACAAAAAGCCTAAAAATGAATCTTTTGGAAAAAAAAAGGGAGAGAAAATAATTAAAGCTCCTTTGAGGAATTTTTCGCTTTGAGTTCATTTTAACCAGAACTGTTAAAATTTAGAAAAGGCTGTTTCTGCAGCGTGCTGTGTCACTGTCAGACACCCTGTGGCAGTGGTTTGATGCATTGTAAATAACCATGTAGAAATTACCATTCTCTACACTGATGATTGTCTGGTTTGATTTAGGTCAAAAGACGCACCAGAATTAATTTCTTCCTCTTTCATAAACAGTTAAAATCTCCTCATGCTGCCCGGTGTCATAAACGTCCCTTTTTCTACAGACCATTTGACAGCTTAAAACACAACACAGCGTTCACTGTCCTCTCTATGATGTTCTGAGGCCCCTAATTCACTACCAACCTTTTAACTTGGAATAAAAACGGAACCACTTCCTGTTTACATGATTAAATATTAAATGGGAACTTTGTTGACCTCTGCTGAGCTTCTAGGGCTCAATGCTTCATCTCACTTTCCTGCCCCTCGATTAGTCTTCATAACCAAGCTGTCACTCTTTATTAGCCTTAAAGGTACAGGAAGGAATGTGATCTGTTTTGGCCTATTTACATTTACATAAACATTTGATCCGTGGATCTTTGAAGCCCGGGCTGACAGAAAATTTGTAAGGCTTTAAAATGTACTAAAAAATGTTAGACACATTATTTTCTTTGTTCTGTACTTTTCAATAAATGCTTACTAAGTCACTGAGAGTTTATAATCATGACTCAATGTTAGGTGAGGTATGTTGTTCTCCTCTCCATAGAGGAGCTGCTCATGAGTTCAGTGAGTTCTCACTGATCAACATGTTTCACCTTGACACCATAAAGAAAACATGGGAGTATCTAGCATGCTGGATTAAGCTTCTTTAATTGAATTGCATCGAAATGAAATGTCTGACTCACACTCACACATATTGACAGCTTTGATCTGAATTAAATCAATTCTTTACATATTAAAAAAATGTAATCTTTCAACATGTATCTGTGAACATAAAAATAGCTATCCCTAATACTAAGGCCGGCCTTGGAACATAGAAAGAGTTGAAGAATTGCTTTAATAAAACAATAGTGAACATATTCCTTTCAGTTCTGGTGGACAAATGGATATACTGAAGTGTACTGTTCAAAGGCAATAACACAGGGGGGATTTTGTCTTTCTTGACCCCTCAGGTTGTGTGCCCATGAGGTCGTCCATGCTGGTCCTGCTCCTCCTCTTCAGTGTCCGGGCTGTGGCCGCCAACGGAGGAGACTCTTGTGCCGCCACGACGACCCAGCAGCAGGACTCAGGCAAGGACCCAGATTCCACCCCCACAGTGGACCCCAAACTCCTCACAAAGCGGCGCTTCCTCTCGCCCCGGGTGCTCTTCAGCGCTCAGCCTCCCGATGCAGACCCGGCGGGGTCGCAGGGTCCCGGTAGGAGGGCCCGCAGGCGAGCAGGGCAACCTCAGCACCGAGGAGTGTACTCCGTGTGTGAGAGCATCAGCGTGTGGGTGGGCAACAAAACCAAAGCAACGGACATTTCAGGCAACGAGGTGACAGTGCTGCCGGATGTGAATATCAACAATGTCAACAAGAAGCAGTACTTCTTTGAGACGACGTGTCACAGTGCGCGCTCTGGCAGCTCTGGGTGTTTGGGGATCGATGCCCGACACTGGAACTCCTACTGCACCAACTCACACACGTTTGTGCGAGCGCTGACCTCCTTTAAGAAGCTGGTGGCCTGGAGGCTCATACGCATCAACGTGGCCTGCGTGTGTGTGTTGAGCCGCAAGTCGTGGCGGCAGTGAAGACTTTTACTCCACATCACACAATCAGTACAAACACAGACACACTCACCACCCTATGCACAAAGTAAATTATTGGTATATGAAAAGGTATCAGGACTGCATGTATAAACACCAGGCCTGGGTCAAATGGTATCTGCAGCTCGTAGCTATGTGGGAGTACAAAACACTGAGGGCTTGTTGCTGCATCGCCTAGCATCTGTCTGTTAGCAGCTGTTTATAACAGGAAGTCCAACAGTCTTTTATTATCTCATCTCTCAATCCTCTAATAACAAGTTCACCTTAAAGGGGAACTCCATCACTCTTGTACTTATGTTTACATGTCCTGAGGAGTGTTTCTGAGCTCTAGGGGGAGCTGCACATATTCATAAACCGCCTGAAATGATGCCACTTGAGTCAGTTAAAGTTAAAGATTACAAGTTCAAAAAGACCAGATCATCAGACTCTTAAGTCAAAATCAAAGAGAGGTTAGCAAACCCTCTGTAGCCAGACTCTCATCTGTGCTGAAGTGAGCAGCTCAGACTAAATGATTTGCTACACTTGATTCTTTGACTGGACTGTTGTTGCATTGTGGGTAATGTAGGCGCCTTTTAACAAGGGAATAGACAGTGGGGAAAGACATCCCTGATACTGCTGTATCAATTTTGACAAAGATTATAGTAGTAAAAAGCCTAAGTGAGTACTTTGTTTCTGTTAAGAATTCTCTAATAAGCAAAGTTATGAAAAAACAGCTCTTCACTCAGAGTAAAAAAAAAGAAGAAACATGGATCAGAGATCATTCTATCACAGCATGAGGAAGAGGAGTATCTCTTAATTATTTGGTATGTTTGATCAAATCTATGTTTAGAGCGAGGGACAAGGTTTTAACCTACCTCTGAATAGTTGTTCATCTTCTTTTAAAGGGACATACAGCTTATTTTACTCTGCAAACTCTAACCACAACTACCATTTTTCATTTTCATCATGAATATGAAAATTGTTTTTTTTTCATTATTATTATTATTTATTATTACTAACATTTAGGTTATATAAATATGAATAAAATATTTTTTGTTAACTGCATGAAAGAATAATTCTGAGTTTAGTAAAGCCTTGACAGGGCACACAATGATACAAAGTGATTCAAACTAAATATAGGAGAAGGCTCACTTTATTAATCCCTGAGTGGAAATTCAGTTATTTCACTCTGAATATTGATTCACATATAAATAGACCTAAAATACACACACACACACACACACACACACACACACACACACACACACACACACACACACACACACACACACACACACACACACACACACACACACACACACACACACACACACACACACACACACAACAGGACCCTATGGAGAGATGTCAGAGGGACGGTGCAGCACACAGACGAGTGCCCCGAGCAGTTTGGGGTTTTGGTGCCTTGCTCAGGGGCACCCTAGCAGTAGCTGGGAACTGTTCAACCTCAGACTCTTCAGCAGCAGTTCATATTTACTTTGGATAAATCAAAGGCAGCTTAAAACTTCTAGTTTTGTCCTCTCAAAAATAAGAAACATTTGAAATAAAATGATAGTTATAGCCGATCAAAGGCCCAGGTTCAAATTCACCATTAGGCCTACATGTTGCTTTAGTTGCCAAATAAATCATACAAACAACAACTATTTAACATGATCCAGAGCCTCTTTTGAATTTAAGAGCATTTTTCTAGTATTACAACATCTTTTGATGCATAATTAATCGCAAAAGGATTCGAAAAATGTTTTGACCATTAAGTGCCTTCGTAGATTTGTAATATCTTCAAATTAATATCACTTCAAATCAGTCATTTCTTGTTTTTATAGCACAAATTCACAACAAATAGACTACACTTTACATAAAGATCAGGTTCTGTGTTTTATTTTAAACTCTTAGTCATCTTTCAGCCTTGATTCAGACCCAGGTTCAGCTGAATCACAAATGAACTGCAGCTTTAACAAAAAGTATGATGAAACGACTCGCAAGGCCACATTTGATTCAGACTCTGAAAGTTGTTTGTGAATAGAGATAACTTTCTTTCTGACTTAACCTTAAGCATTTCTTATCATCTATACTCAAGTTTCACATAAGTTTTGATCTAGAGGTTTAGCCTCGGGAGAAAAAAAAAATCAAAACTTGGATAATAGCTCGTAGTGACACGCAGGTGACTCCTACAGGACTCAGGAAGTGGATTTGTGCTGATCCTCAGGTGCAGCTTCTGACACTCATCGAAGCTGATTCAAATCTACATGACAGCACAAGTTTAACCCGTCTCAAACCTTGAACCGCTGCTAAGCTACCGACAAAGCAACAACTCTTGAGAGCGCCAGCATCATGACACAATCCTGTTAATTATAGTGCTTTTCGTGCCTCCATTATATTTTCCTTTAGCACGGCCCTCTCAGTAGACTGAAATACAGTTTGACTCAGGTCTGATATAAGCAAACGTTTTGTTAAAATGTCGTCAATGATCTTGTTATTTATTAAACACTTACATACATGGACTGTGTGTGTTTTTATGAATATTTATTGTCTGGATTGTAAGCCCAGAAAAACTCTGAGCAACCTCTCGACATGAAAAGAAATTCATTTTTTTCATGTTTTGGCCTTGATGGAAAACTGAACACAGAACCCATATGGCTTCATTTTACTGCCAGTAATTTGGTGATTTGGCTTTGCTGTGTGTTTTTCCTCCTGCTCTCTATTCTACAGTTGGTGTGCAACAAAAGGAAATAAAGAAACAGACATAAACCTAAATATAATTGCACACGCACAGGTTTCTCATGCTAACTCTGCCTGATAATATCACAGCTTGTTTTTTATTTGTTTTGGCTGTGACATTTCAGCATCATCAGTGCCTTTCCACAACTACTCGAGGATTGCACAGAATCAGTAGTGATATTAAGTCTGATTTTGTATCAGTGCTGATATTTAAGATGTCTGTTGTGAGTTCAGAGAGCTCTGAGGTAAAGTGGAAACAGAAACCAAGCAGCTGCTCAAAATCCTCCCTTTTAAAACAAATATATTTCCATTCGAGCTGCTGACTGTAAATACTGTTCATAAGAGACACCTTGTTTAGTTTACCTCATGGATGTTTACCTCAAACACAGGAGACGTCGCAACACTGCCTCTAAATAAAAGACAACACTGCCCTCCAGTGGTCAGAGGATGAAACATGTGCATTGTGTAAACAAATATGCCACTGGAGTAGAGGTTAACATAATAAAATATATAAACATTTTCTAGTCTAGAATTATAAAGACATAAACTCAGTTACACACACACAGAGCTTACAGATATAAAATGTCTTTTAAACATATTTTATGGTTTTCTGAGAAAAATTAAATTCTAAATATGTTATAAACGTAAAAAAAGAAGGATGGAAAAAAAACTAATTGATGCAAATTTCAGCTACAGTTTATTCTTGCTGTACATGACACAACCCTCTTGATAAACAAGGTGTTCACTCATGTCTTAAATAAATAATTAAAATAATAAGTTAACAATAAGGAAAAGAGGAAAAATGTTATATAGAAAAAAAAATTATATAGAAAAATCACAACAATACATTTTTGACCAGTTACAGCTATTAAGGAAATAAATAGACATTATTAATCAATTTAGCGTTATTCTTTGAAATTATTTTACACGTTAATATATCATAAAAAAAGTTTGATCTGTACCTTAAGCTTTGATGAAAAATATAGAAAGACATGATTATAGTACATGCGAACAAAAGAAACAACAAAGTGATATTTATTATATGATAACAACTATTTTTTTTAATGATATGGTTTATAGTGTTATATATTAAGCAGAATGAATCCAGAAAACTCTTTAACATCCTTTATGAAACTAGTGTAAACAAAGCACTGGACAGACTGTGTTTGCACTTCCCAGTGACATTTAGACGACTGATGATTCGGTCACGTTTACGTCATCACGTAAAGTTTACAGTCAGTGTTAGTGACACAAACACAAATATATGATACAGTATGAATACTTTTAATGGTGAATAATCACTGTACAGACACTGACAGGAGTTTGAATCAACTAGTTACAGGTCTTGTGTTTTATGACTGTTGCACTGATTTTAAAACAGACTTTCTTCTATGTTTAAAGGGAGCTTTGCTAATGATTTATGATTGATTGATTGATTGATTGATTGATTGATTGATTGACATGGCCTGCACTCACAAGATAGTTATATTCAAAAAGATATTTTGGTATCACCACAATGTCTCTTTGTCTCTCACGACTTATATCGGATAGATCTCAAGAATGAGTCACAGTTGCACCATATGGAGATCAGGAAACATTATTGCACCAGATTTACATATCGAGCAGAAAGAGGAAGATGAGTTAGGTGAGGAGAGGAGAGGGGGACTGCAGAGGGAGAATGAGATTTTGACTTCATTATTAACTCTGAGTATATGGTTTCAGTCTGGAATTATTTACTGCTATGAATTTAAATCAAATCTAGCTATCTATCTATCTATAATGAATCCCTTTATCATTTTACTGAGTCGGAGTTGTCATGGGATAAATAATGTAGGTGGCCAGCAGTGCGATGTGTCCCATGATCCTAATAGAGACTCTGGCACACTAACAGGGGGGTCGCTGTTTCAACTCCCACATCAGAGCAGCAAACAAAGGCGGCACAAACATGACAAGCAGACTGTCAGAGGGAGTGAACCCGTGTTGACCCTCTCCAGCCTACAGAGGAGACGCAGAGGAGCTTTGCTGTCAATCCAAGTGTGGTCATACAACATGTCAGATTCAGTGTGCCAACCAATACCACACTGTTATGCTGGCAAGCATGCTCCACTTATATATACATAGTTATTTAGCAAATTATGCCACAAAAATAATGTAGGGAAGTTGAATTTAAAGCTGAGCACATTGCTGTTTCTGACAGTTTATGTGATTTGAATATATATCTTAAAAATAATTCATGTCTTATGTGCACCATCAGGATCCCTCTTGGTGCTTTGAGGTAATTGCTAACATCGGCATGCTAACCAGGTCACAACACAGACTGGTTAAAAGAAGTGGAAGTTCCCCGTTTGTGGAGAATTAGGACCGTAGCTGTCTTGAAATTTTGGAACCAGAAGTGACCGAATTTAGATGACGTAGTTAATAGAAAAGTGGTAAAGTACTGTAAATCAGATTAGCTAAATTGACAGCGAACAACAAGCGGGAGCCTCCCCTGTCATTGGAAGCAGTCATGTCCTTAATCTACAATATGCTGGATTTAGACTTTAAACAGATCACTTAAAAAAATGTGTAATTCACCCTTTTCACAGTTATCATAAAAACATAAATTGGCTATAATTGGTTAAACTTTCTTTGAAACAGATATGGATATTTCTTTAAATGAATGAACAATAGAGGGACCAAAACAGTAGATATACAACATGGATATAGTCTCAGTGAGGTCACCCATTGGTTTTCTGAAGCCTGGCTTCCACATTGGCTTCCTTTTCAACACCGACTTGACGAAAGCCGTTTTGAACCATGAGTAAATGTATACAGTTACTATATGGGGAGTTAAGTAGATTGACTCTTTAGGGGAACAAGTCTCAAGCGGCCATCTAAAAGAAATAGTTACTAGAAATAGGTTTCTAGCTAGCCTACAAAAAAGGTTTAAAGAATGATTTTGGGGCTCCGAAAGACAAAGCAATCTTCTCTCTACAAGGAGTTTCCCAACTGTGTGAAAAGGTTTTGAAACCAAACAGTGGTAGGCTAAGGCCTTGTGTCCACCTAGCATTTTTTTTTCTGAGCACCAGCGTCCTTTTAAGCCAACGCTCAAGAACCCATAAGGACCCACCATGACGCAGGTGTGTCCACCCCTTTAAACCTTGTGGGCAGTTCTTCAAAGTGCTTAAATCTTCATTTTTACCCATAAAGTCCCTAAGTAACATCTACTTAACTTCCTGGTGCAGTCATGTGACTGTGCCTTCATTGGTGTACCAGTGACCTCACTTCCAATATGGCTGTGCACCAGGTTAACACATGAGACAAATCCAGCTAATTTTGTAAAGCTTGATTTGTGTGTCAAAGGTATGTTTCAACCCAAAAAATAATGTTTTTGTTAAAATAACATGTTCTTTCATACATTAGACCTGTTTTTAATACATTTTTTTGATAACTTGATATAAAGCAAGAAGAGAGAAGATTGCTGTGACAAATATGTCACATTAGGCTTTTATTCTTAAATAATCATGGAAGATCCCATGTGACGTATTAGTCACAATCAAAGAAAATGGTAGAAAATTGCTCAATTACTTAAGCCCATTCAATCATTTTTAATCAATATATTCTCTAAAGTTGAAGTCAAAGAATATTCAAACAAATATGAACAAAAAATCTCATGTGAAATTCATTAAACTAATTAATAAAAATGAGTTAAGAAGTTAAGAAACTTTTAATGAAAAAGTTTGTATGTCATTCCCAAAAATGTAAGTCAGCATTGAAAGAGACAATTGATTAGTTACACAAACAAGTCAGATGTTTTATCCTATTTTAATCCAACTTCATTATAATTTGTTTGTAGTACGGATAAAAAGAAGCAGCAATACAGTCTTCAGGATGCTCTGAATATCATCACGGGAGATGACAGCGATTTTGAGGGATGTGAAGATAGCGCAGATGAAGATCCTGATGACCCTGATTATACCCCCAACAAAAAAGACATGGAGACTGATGAGTCAAGTTGGTCAGGTGATTCAGACGTTGGCGAATCAAGTGATTTGGATGAACAGCAACCAAGCATGAACCCGAGGCAGCAAACGACAAATGTCCAAAGAAAAGGAAGAGAAGAAAACATTTTCCTGGAGGCAGAAATCTTTTGAAACACCTGATTGCACATTGGAAGGAGAGAATGCCAGGCCACCAGACACTCTCCATACTCCTCAGGAGTATTTCAGAAAGTTCATCCCAGCAGAAATGCTCCAGTTACTGAAGGAACAAACACATTTGTACAGTGTACAAAAATATGAAAGGCACAGCAATGTTAACACTACTGTGAAAGAAATGGAAATACTCATTGGCCTCTATCTGCGCATGGGCCTTTGCCAAATGCCTGGGAATCATGCATACTGGGAAAACCACACAAGATGTTCCATGGTGGCTGACCACATGTCACGTAATCGTTTTCAGACCCTGCTAGCACACCTGCATTTCACTGACAACACTGATTTGTCAAACAGGCAAGCAGGAGATAAGTGTTGGAAGATTCGTCCATGGCTCGATATGTTCCGCAAACAATGCCTGAATGTCACTCCAGAGGAGCACAACTCAGTTGATGAGCAAATGGTCTCATTCAGAGGGTCACACAGTCCAATAAGACAGTATGTGAAGGGCAAGCCCCACCCTTGGGGACTGAAAATTTGCTCTGCCTCAGGAATCCTCTGTGATTTTATAGTTTATCAAGGTGGCACTGGTGAAAAAACCTTACTTGGCGTAGGAGATGATGTTGTGGTCAAGTTGTGTGAAATGCTCCCATCAAACCAAAACTACAAAGTATTTGCAGACAACCTGATTTCTTCAGTGCCACTGGTGCTCAAGCTTCTTCAGCGAAAGATCTACTTCGTAGGAACACTCCGGAGCAATCGCTTGGCTGGTTGTCAACTTGAAGATGAGAAAAGTCTTGCAAAGAGAGGCAGAGGATCCATTGATGCCAGGGTGGAGAAGGGGGGAAAGGTGGCCATTGTTAAGTGGTATGATAACAAATCTGTCTTCTTGATCTCATCCTACTGTGCCATTGACCCTCAAGACAAAGCTCGACGCTGGAGCAAATCAGACAAAGCATTTGTGGAGGTCAGCAGGCCACACATTGTGAAAGAGTACAACACATTCATTGGGGGCATAGACCTCCTTGATGCATGCGTCGCAAGAAGCAAGTACCACATGAGATCACGGAGGTGGTACCTCTGTTCTGGCAAACCATCATGTTAGGCCTGGTCAATGCATGGTTGCTTTACCGCCTCGACTGCAAACTACTCGGTGTCAGAAAGCCACTGAAACAAAGGAGCTTCCAAGCAGAGGTTGCCACAAGCCTGATTCTCTTGCATTCACAGAGGGGGCGCCCAGCATTTGACAGCCCATCTCCACCACCACTACCACACAAGCGAGTCCGTACTGACGTTCCAGATGATGTTCGCACTGACCACATTGCACACTGGCCTGTGAAATGTGAGAAACTGTTAAGACATGTTGCTGCAAAAGAAGTGTTATTTTTTTCAGCAGTCCTTTGTTTTCTGTACTTAAGTACATGTTTTGGCAGGTTTTCTGTGTGAATCTGTCGTTTATTGTTCAGTTGCTCTCTAATGCACTAAAAAACTGGTTTGAGAAGACCAAAATTGTTGTTTAACCTTTTAGAAAGGTACTGTTTCTGTTTGAATGCAAATAAATGCAAATGTTTGTTAGTAAGCAACCAAAGTTTTTATCTCATTCATTTTCAAATGAAGAAAAATAATCACAGTAAACGCCCAATGTGACAAATTTGTAACTTTTCAGATCTTTGACACAAGGGGGTGCTCTTGAAAAAAAAAGATTTGAAATGTGTTATTTATGGTCCATTTGGTCTTCTGTAACACACATAATTTTTCCTATAAGGGGAAATGGGTGTGGGTTCTTACGGGTTAAAAACCGTTCAATTTATCACAAAGGTGCTGTTGACATCACCAGCACTCGTTTACAAATATTACACATTTCTTGTATTTTTGCCACCTATGGATCGTGTCTTGTACACAAATACTCTTTGCCCGATGTCTGCTGGGGTAAAACATTCTCAAATAAGAAAAGAATACAGTAAAAAGCGATGGAGCATTGTCTGTCATACAGCGGCCGTTGTTAACAGACTGTTGTCATGGAGACAGGGCAGATGTGAAGCGCTTTTCTCCCTGGAAAAACGCTAGGTGGATACGGGACCTAACTCATTTTCTTTAAGGCTTAAAATAATGAGTATATATGCAGACTGTACTTTCTTGTGCTCAGTAAAAATCTCCTGGAGATCATGGTGACGGTCATGTCTCCACTTTCTGCAATCTAGGCTAAAACCCTTGTACAACTTACTTAAACTGTGCCACTGAGCCATCTTATCTCAGGTCACTGTGTTTCAGGTGCACACTGCACACGTTCCCTTATTTCCATAACAAACACTGATGTATCAGTGGACAGCTGCAGGAGCACCATCAGTCCATGAACTTACTTTCAGGAAAGTCATGGTGGTACAAGAGATGACAGTGAATAGTGGTTTAATCTGGCTGAAGTCTTTTGAATGTATTTCTTCAGTACAGGATCCCAAAGACCCTGTGGGCTCCCTGTGGAGGGGTCTGGACATCCTCTGCATACTGAACAGTTTGAATTCATTATATCTGCTCAAAACAAAAAAGAAAAAAGGGACTGCAGACAGATGGCACTTCTGTACACCAGTTTCTCATCACCTACCCACATCGATAGTTATATAATCGAGCACCGTTTCGTTTATAAATGAAACGCGATGGACAAAATGTAAGATATTTACTTGATCTTTTTCTGGGAGATTTATTTCCATTACTTAGCAACAATTTTCCAAACCAGAACCAAAGATGTGATATCAAACACTGAAGTTACACCTGGTGCTTACAGGGGATCTGTTGGAGTCATTCCTCAGGGGTCCCAGATCGTCCCCGGTGTACCTCTGTACCTCAGCGCGCGCACACACACACACACACACACACTACACACACACTACACACACACTACACATCGCACTCATACGCACTCGCACTCAATGGGCGGGGCCTAGCAGCGTGCAGGCTGTCTGTTGCAGCTTGTGCGCATGTTTGGATGTAGCGGTGCAGGACAGCATCATTGCATGGTTGATGTCCAGCTGGAAGGCGCGAAGAAAAGGCGAATTAGCAAAATAAATTTAAAGCTTTCTTGTCAGAATTCGTGACGGACCAGGAGGCATCATGAGTAAAGTGCAGGGCGGGATGAAATGCGTGAAATATCTGCTTTTCGTTTTCAACTTCATCTTCTGGGTGAGTCCGCTGCAAAGGCTATAGCCTACTATTTCATATTCCTCAGTATTATTATTTTATGCAGATCCTCTGTATTATTTGCAACTGGATTTGTTTTATGGAGTAATTTAAACCTCATCAAGCTTGTTAGCATGAATAAAACCTGATAGTGCTCCGCCTAGTTGCGTTGTTTACATGTGCAGCACACTGCAGACTCACAGTGTGTCTAAGTATCGTGTTAGATATGGTTTTAATAAGATCGTCTCATTGTGCTACTTGAGTTTTGGAGAGTTAAACCTGCAGACTGTCTCGCTCCACCTGGCTCCTGCAAACTCTCAAGAGTGCCTCTGACATCACAAACCAAACCCCATGTAGCCTACTATGTCGAGGATTTAATCACCAGGATGCCCATTAGCTGACGCAAAACACCAGCGACTGTAAATCATCAATATTTTCATTTAAATCCATTATGGAGCCCTAATAGCTCATTACTGCCCTTAAAGAGTACTCCATCTACTAAATGATGTTAATAATTCATGTGTAAATCAAACTACAGCCTGTAAACCACCCACACATTAACACTCATGTGATTTATAGTGACTGTATAATGCACTGAGGTAGTCTTCATGCACTGTACAACACACACACACACACACACACACAGACACACACACAATACACTCACAACACACACTGTGAGACCTGTAGCAGGAAAGTCACAACCCAATGATACACCATCTGAACTGTGTGTGTGTGTGTGTGTGTGTGTGTGTCTGTGTGTGTGTGTTTTAAAAATAGGGTTTATCTGTTTTGGGCACATCATGGATGAGGTTTGTGTTGGTCTTTTCGCAGCTTTAGATCTGCTCAGATTCACCTGTGACTTAGGGCTGGGCGATACGACCTCAAATCAATATCACGATTAATTGAACATTTTACCTCGACTACGATTAATAAACGATTATTCTGTTTTAGTTTTGCCCTCATAGTTCACTGACATGGTCTCTACTGCAAATATGCTCATCTATTAAAGCTGGGATCTGTTTTCTAATGAAAGAGTTCACATCTGATGAAATTATTTATTGAATATTTCAAACTGAAATCAAAGCATCGCTTGAAATGAAAACAACACATTCTAGTTTTAAAGTAGATTCTGTAAAACAGTAAAAAATAAATAACTTGTGTTTCTTGCAAAAAGTTTTTCTGCAGTGTTTACATTTGACTTCTTTTTGTTCTGTGTCGTCTTCCCTAAATACAAAATGTGTCCAAACGTTACTTCCATGTCGCGGATTGGACGTGTCGTCAAGTGACTGCCCTGAAAATAATCAAAAATAATCGACATGGGCAAGATTACATCAGTTAGAGGTTCTGAATGTCGGTTTCGATTAATTTCCCAGGCCTACTTTGTGGATTCACTTCATCATCCGACTTTATATCATCTCAACAGTTCATGGAAAACGTTTTTTTGATAAATGTGAGGAACGATGGACGGCATGAAATCCCTTGTAACAGGTTGCAGACTCATGCAGCCTGTTCACCTAAAGAGTAAAAGAAGAACTCTTCCTTTACAGAAGCACAAAGGAGCTGAATGAATATCTGACTGATTTTAACGGCTGGATCTTAATATTTCTGCTATCCTCCTCTTCGTTTCATTATCTCATGACCCTGCAGATCAGACATCCCTTTTTTGGGATTCCAGCTCCTTTTGTTTGAGAACCATAAAAGAGTGAAAGTAATTTATTTCTGCTCCAACTTTGGATGGCACAGTCTGCATATCTTTTGTTTAAATTGCTCCCCTGTGTTAATTCAGCCTTTGTTTGGAGCTGTGGCTCATTTTATAATCTGTCATGGATTAAAAGTGGATTCATTAAAGTGCATGAAAAGGCTGCGACTTATGATAAATACTTTCATAATTTTATGATGTGAAAATTGTTTTCTTTGCAATCTTTGATTTGCAATAATGATAACTACATGTCACAGTTTCCTAGAGCCAAAAGTAGGACGTGTGCATATGGTGAGTTTGGTCTGAAAAAGCATGCAAAAAAACCCCAAAATATTACATTTGCTGTCCATTTGTGGAAAAAACAAAAGCATCAGAACCACACAACAGACTCGCTGAAACTTTGTCATGTTTGTCCATAATAGACTGCTGTAGTTGTCATGAATCGATCCTCATGTTTTACAGCGTAATGATACAGTGCACATGTACTTTGACGGCAGCGTTGGCTCCTCTGTGCTCTCTTGTGTCACCAAAATGACAGCGGCCTCTTTGTTCAGAGTTTTTTTTTTAGGGGAAGGGAAAGCAGTGCCGTTGTGGTCGCAGCCAAAAGAGGCGTAATGACCGAACGCTGTCATTTTGGGGTGCGGAGCCAAACGAGCAGCCAATAACACTGCGAGTTACATCACCCGGCTCTGTGAGGCTGGCACCGCCTGTGGCTGAAATGCACCATGGGAGATGGGCCGCTGATGCTGACGTTTAGATGTGATATTCTGGGTGTTTAACAGTTATTTTTACAGTATCTCAAATGTTCTCAGGAAGGAAATCAATCAACACTAAACAGATGGTTTTATCAGGATTTTTCTCCCACAAATGTTACACAATGTTACAATTTTTAAAGTTATTACTTAATAATGTCCTAGAGTTATGTTATCATCTGAAATATCATTGACGTAAGCATAAAAAACACATTATATATATTTGACATCTCGTGATTCTTCTGTTATTTTTTAAACTTGTGACAAAAATTGCAGCTGAGACCAAATAAAGCCAAGGTCAGAAGGATTCCCTTTCTCAGGGTGACTCCTGCTTTCCATCGACTATCTCCATCGATCAGTTTATTTCTGGTAAAGCTCGCCCTGGGAGCACTGATGTCACTTCAGTGTTGTGACAAACTCCTTAACACGTTAAGATGGATGTCCTTTTTTTTTTACAACTTATGCTAACGTGTGTCTTCTACGGTGAAGAAGTAAGTCTTCTTTTGGCTTCAGTTTGGGATCCAACACTCATTTTTAAGAGTCTGAAACCTGCATTAACATTTCTGGCAGAAGTTCGGTGAGAACTAACAGACGAGAAAACAGACAGCGCGCATCAAGAGACTCTTTACTGTTAGGACAAAGACGAGCATCAGCTGCAGAATCCTAATCAGAAGAACCAGAGGAAAAAGTGAACCATCATGATGGGCCTCAATGTTTAAGAGATTTCGGTGCCAGGGCTCTGAGAACTCATCATCAAAGACATCAGTTAAAACTTCACCATTCTGCTTCTGTATGAAAAAGTGTTTGAGTATGATGTGAATATCAATGGTTTCGTTTCTCCCCACTCAGCTGTCGGGCCTGCTGGTTCTGGCAGTGGGACTGTGGCTCAGGTTCGATCCAGAGACGGTGGAGCTTCTGACAGGTGATGGAGCCCCGGACACCTTTTTCATTGGTACGTCACAGTTTGTACAACCTCCAATCACACTTTTATTCATTTACCTTGTATTTTAATTGAATTTAAATTGCATTTCAATGTATTTACGTGTGATAAACCGCGTGACTGACTTCATTTGTTGAAAGAATTTAACTAACTCTAAATATGTAGCTTACTGACTTGATGACTGAATATGTATCACTGGATCAAAAGTGAAGCTCCTGTGAGGAACTTACAGGTTGTGTGGATTTTGGCGACCCCTCTGAACGAAGCAGGGCGTTTTTTTTTTTCTTACTGATCTTATCCTGAAAATGTGAAAGTAGTGATTGTGCGCCGGATGTTGCATGAATACACTATATGCACTGACTCCAGTCACAGTATATAAACATCACTTCCCCCTCCCATTGGTTTGAGATGAATTCTCCTGAGAATATCCTGCAGCGTTCTCACATCATGCCACTCTGAAAAAAATACTAGGGAGTCTAGCAGGTGAAATCTGAGTAAAAAATGTGGCTGTTTGCATTCACACCTAAAGCTCCTCCTGGAAATATCAGGAGTTATTCAGGAGTTTTCTGCAAGTGTGAAAGCCCTAATATTTTATTCACTTATTTATTTTCATTAATTGCTAGTTTTTCAAAGTGTTCAGAATGTGATAGTGTTGAAGATTGAAAAATGCATGTGATCGAGATGTTGCAAAATCAAACAATGATCGTGTTTAACAATCCTGATGGCAACAATATCAACCAAAATATTCGTGATTAGGATTTTTTTCAAGGAGCCATAGCTTTGAGAAGTCACACGTTTTAAGCTTAATATTGATTTATAGTTTTAAAATGCGACATAGGCCGGATCTTTGTAACATAGCAATAAGTAAGGTCTTTTACCTGCTTTTTGTAACATAACAATGAGTAAGGTATTTTACCTGCTTTTTGTAAAGTGTCTTGAGATAACACTTGTTATGAGTTGACGCTATACAAATAAAATTGAATTGAATTGAATTGAATTCATTTCCGTTTAAAGCCAAAAATTGGAAAACAGCGTGAAAAAACTTGATTGAACAAGTATCAAATAAGAGACTGTGAGGGATACATGTGTTTTTGCTGCACAATAAGACTAATTTCTATGGTGGCTGACCAGGGAAATCACTTAAACCATTTACATTACATGTCTTTAAATACATAATCAATGCCAATTCAGAAACGTTCAAAAGTCCAAAACAAATGCAATGCTGACAACAGGATGCAACTGAAATAAAAAAACCTGTATTTACCGCCGACACACTGCAAGGACATACAATGCATACACAGTAAGAAACACTTATGCATGTGTTTTTGAGTTTGCGCTGTTTCTGAATTTGCTGCATGTTTTTTTTTTAATTAGCACTGTGTTTAAGCCGTTACAGCTGTAACCGTACAGCTCTGTGTGTAAAACAACTTAAACTCACAAAAGTGAGGAACACAGTGCGGCACCACTTTTCCTGCTTGATGATGGTATCAGTTTTATGGTGCACTCACTGCGATAACCGTTTAACAAACCCTCGTTAGCTTCCCCGGGGGATTCCCAAACAGCAGCTCTGAGACGGAGCAGCTCTGAGAGGCAGCAGGTGCTACTGAGCAGTAATGAACGCTTAACGCTTCATTTTACTCTGAAAGCATTGTGAGCTTTCATAACTACTTCCTCCGCAAAGTGGCTTTACACATCACTTTCATCCTCAACTATTTATTGGCCCATTTCATATCCTTAAAGTGACGAATAGTGCTACGTGCTGAGAGGAAGTGAGTAGGACATTAGTGAAAGGCACTGTTAATGGAAACACTTTAGTTTATGGGTTGTGGAGAGAAATTATCATGTTCACAAAAATCAATGTTATTTTTTCTTTGACTAGACAATTACTATCGATCTACTATAGGACAGTGGATCGATCAATGCGAGAGCGAGAACCACACGCTTTAAGTGACGAACATGAAACTCTCTTTTCTCCAAAGACTCTGAAGTTCTGGTTCTCTTTTTTGGTTCGAGAAAGGTTTCATATCTGGAAACATTTATTATTGATTTCATGATACAGGAACTCGTGACATATGATCTTAGGCTACGTGTTTTTGGATCATGGTGTCAGGGGGGCACAGGTGTGGACCCAGTGGTGTCTTAAAGTTAGGATAGCCAAGCGAAAGATTGGAGAGGAGAAAAATAAACAAGTAGTATAGAGCCAAAACAAGCTGACTAAACTAAATAATGCACCGAATATAAGACACTAAACCACCACACAGCTGACTCGAACCTAAATTGTTCAGGAGACCCAGAATACAGCAAAGGCTGCCAGGGAGGCCTTAAAAGTTAATGGAAGAGGAGTAGAAAAAGTTACACTCTGAGAGACTGCCATAGAGAGCAAATACACAGAATGGTGTTTTTTTTGTGTTTAAGACGAGATAAAACACAGGGAGAACCTCTCACTACCTCTGAAGGCGAGATAATGAGTCAGCACAGAGCACTGGAGACCCCGAGAATATATAAACTCCCCACACCTGAGCTGAATCAGAGCCAATCAGTCACTCACACACCTGAGCTGAAGCAGAGCCAATCAGTCACTCACACACCTGAGCTGAAGCTGAATTCATTTTTAATGAAGGATTAAATAAATACATCCATTAGGCAGAGGTGTAAAGAGTACTAATATATTCTACTCAAGTAAAAGTTACTTTAATGAAATTTTACTAAAGTACAAGTAAAAGTACCTGTTTAAAAATGTACTCAAGTAAAAGTAAAAAGTAACTCGTTTAAAATGTACTTTAAGTAAAAGTTACTTAGTGACTTTTTTTTAACAACGCGTCTCTCGTGTGTCGTGAAAAAGGACGAGAGGATATTAATCTCAAAGTTTTTTTTCATTAAAGGCAAAGTTTATCTTTTCAGATAAACATTTTCTTTTCTACCCCTTTGACAAAAACAAAATATAAATAATGGATACATATTCAAGGCTTATGTTCAAGTAATCAGCTGTTTTATGAAGGGAAATGTTTAAACTATTTAAGAAAATACTAAAAGGGTCTTTGTCTCAATCATAAACAGTGTAAAGATTAATATTTTAGTGTTTTTAGTTTTGTTATTCTTAGTCTCAAATGCAGCCTCAAAGGCTGATGTAGCTGCAACTAAACCTGAGATGAAAGATAATCCATTTATTGTTCTAAAATGAGCCTTTATGATCTTAAATATTAAATGTCTTAGTCACTGTTTGTTTACCTATTAGCTACTGAAGCTTCTGACTGAGTCTGTTTGGTTTGAAGTATTTATTTTCACACATCTGAGATGTTTTAAGTTGCAGCAGCTTATAACACCCAACTTCCTCATACGTCTGCTTCAAAATAAAAGCACATCACAGAGATGTCAATAAGGGACTTTTATTGTGAAAAACTTTCCAGAACTAAATGTGTTTATATCTCGGAGCTGCAGTGGCGATTGTAGTCAAGAACGCTGCAGTGAGAAAAAGCATCCTCAGCCACTTCTTTGCCCGAGAGTAAGAACCACAGCCAACTTCTTTGAATCATCTTGGACTCAAGACAACGAGACATCAGTTTATAAACACCTTCAGCAGGTAAACCCACAGTAGAGGAGGAACTTATCCGTGCTGCACTTTACTGAAGTGGCACCGAGCCAAGAAAAGGCTCTCTGTCTCTCTCTCTCTCTCTCTCTCTCTCTCTCTCTTTCTCTCTCTCTCTCTGTCTCTGTCTCTCTGTCTCTCTCTCTGTCTCTCTCTCTCTGTCTCTCTCTCTGTCTCTCTCTCTCTCTCTCTGTCTCTGTCTCTCTGTCTCTCTCTCTGTCTCTCTCTCTCTGTCTCTCTCTCTGTCTCTCTCTCTCTCTCTCTGTCTCTCTCTCTGTCTCTCTCTCTCTGTCTCTCTCTCTGTCTCTCTCTCTCTGTCTCTCTCTCTCTCTGTCTCTCTGTCTCTCTGTCTCTCTCTCTGTCTCTCTCTCTCTCTCTGTCTCACTCTCTGTCTCTCTTTCTCTCTCTCTTTCTCTCTCTCTCTGTCTCTCTCTCTCTGTCTCTGTCTCTCTCTCTCTCTCTGTCTTTCTCTCTGTCTCTGTCTCTCTCTCTCTCTCTGTCTTTCTCTCTGTCTCTCTTTCTCTCTCTCTTTCTCTCTCTCTCTGTCTCTCTCTCTCTGTCTCTGTCTCTCTCTCTCTCTCTGTCTCTCTCTCTCTGTCTCTGTCTCTCTCTCTCTCTCTGTCTTTTTCTCTCTCTCTCTGTCTCTCTCTCTCTCTCTCTGTCTTCTCTCTGTCTCTCTTTCTCTCTCTCTTTCTCTCTCTCTCTGTCTCTCTCTCTCTGTCTCTGTCTCTCTCTCTCTCTCTCTGTCTTTCTCTCTGTCTCTCTTTCTCTCTCTTTCTCTCTCTCTCTGTCTCTCTCTCTGTCTCTGTCTTCTCTCTCTCTCTCTCTCTCTGTCTTTCTCTCTGTCTCTCTCTCTCTCTCTCTCTCTCTCTCTCTCTCTATGTAATTTAATTTGTTACTTTACACCTCTGCCATTAGGACAAATACAACGAAACTAAAACAAGTACCAAATCGTTAATTTTCTAACTAAAACATTCCAACAAAACCACAAAGCAGCTCAAATTTGACTTTCACTGAAGAACTCAAAACGAAGACGACGATAGATTGAATTTAATGTCACAACGTTATGAAATAAGAGACTTGTGAGAGATCGATTGTGTTTGTGGGGATTCTGAACCTTTTGGGAGTAAAAAATAAAACATTGAGCTGTACATAATCCTGCAACTATAAATAAACAAATGAATTATTCTGAGAGGAAAATAAAACAAACAAAGCAATAAAGGTAACAATAATCGTCGTAGATGAAAAACATGCATACACACATTTATCTTAACTTGTAAAGCCTTCACGTTTATTTAAAAAAACCTCATAAAGCTGTTATTGTACACACAGTAACAACAGAAAATAAATACGAGATTGTATTTGGGCCTGGTCTCCCAACAAAGGTTAGGACTTCTTCTAGGAGTTCTGATTCAAAAGTAAAACA